ACTCCCTTCTTTTTGTTTCGTCCTTCATCAGAATAAAAACAATATTTCCTTTATTCCAACAAAATTTTCCTTCATCTCTCCATTAATTCTTACTTTAACAATATTAATTACTTTAACTATACTTTCAAAAACAATATTATTACTTCAAAAAAATTATGCATATGATTCATCTGATATATAAGACGTGCAAAGCACGTACTTATTACAAGTATTTACAGAAATTGCCTCCAAATTAACGCACGCAAGGCTCATTTGTAACTTTTCTTTGAATTGTGTTTGGTCTCCTTTTTTCTTTTTTCTTTTTTATAGATTCCTTCGCTTTTTCAATTAAACGGTTAAGAAGGCAAGAAGATAAGAATAAGAAGGGATGGAATGAAAATAAAAGACATAACAATTAAAGGAAAGATAATACGTCCTGGAAGATTAAAAATACAAGAAAAAAAATTAGAGTATATCATTTTCTTTTGAATTTTTAAACTCATTGCATTTTCTTGAGCAATATTAAGTACTTCAACTACTTCCAAAATCAAGGAAACTAAATTTTTTATCTTTTATTTTTTTAGTTGATTGGTCTCTCTCTCTCTCTTAATTCTTTCTCTTTTTTAAGGAAAATGTTAAGAAGGCAAGAAGAAAGGAGTAAGAAGGGATGAAATGAAAGTAAAAGACATAACAATTAAGGGAAGGATTATACATCATGGAAGAATAAAAATTAGAATATATGTAATCGAGTTTCTGGGATTTGGGTTCCTAATTACTAACATAAAATTAAATAGTGGATTTTATTTTATTTTTTTATTATTTTCTTTTGAATTCTTAAACTCAATGCATTTTCTTGTCAAATGTACGAAGGGTATTTAAAATTTGAATTTTCTTGTCAAATGTACGAAGGGCATTTTCTTGTCGAATGTACGGATTGACATGTTCAAATTGCCATGTGATCTTGTTTTCTCGCTCAAACCAAAGAAATTAAAAAGAAACGTGTAGGGAAACAGATAACTCCAACCTTGTAAAGGAAAATGGAGAAAAATAAAAAACAGTTAATGTATGCAAGGCCCTTTCGCTTTGAATTTTTTTTCCCTTTATTGGTCTTCTTTTTTTATTCCTTCTCTTTTTTAAAGAAAAAAGATTAAGATGGCAGGAAGATAGGAATAAGAAGGGATGAAATAAAAGTAAAAAACACAATAATTAAAGAAAAGATTATACATCATGGAATAATAAAAATGCAGTGGGTTGGGCCTAAGCCGAATCTTCAAACCCAAGTTTTCTTTGTTTTTGCTTTGATCTCTCTCTCTCTCTCTCTCTCTCTTCTTTTTCTTTCCCCCCCATGGTACAACCCCTTTTTATGACTTAAAAAATTTCTGTTTATATTTGTCAAAGAATTTTGAAGAGTTGTGATTAAGAAAGAGTCAAAATCGATGAAGAAAACTCAAATATAAAAATAAAAATAAAAATAGCAAAAGGGGTTGAACCGTGTTGGACCTTGCAAACTGTGGCAAATAGAGTTCTGGGTGAACTGCAATCAATTGCTGTCCAGGTTGAGCCTCTATTTGCCGGAGTTGTTAATGTCGTACGTGCATTTGTTTCTTCGCTTATCTACATTGTAAGTAAAGAATTAAGTTACTATTGTACCTCTATTATATTATGTTAAGATGTATTAAGTTTAGTGAATTATGATCTTATTAGGTCATGACATATTGTACTCCAATAATTAAAAGCATCTTCTACTAGAAATTGGAATATAATAAAAAATCATGTTGAACTAACATTCAATATAACAAAAACTTTGATAGAAACAATTATTTATCTTTCATTCCTCCCCGGACATCAATGCCAACTTTTATATGCCCGATTGATGTAACCGATTACCTGTAACAATTCATTCCCTATTTGAACTCATTTTTGAAAAAAAAAAAAAAAATTGAAATAGTGATTTTTTGGAGAATATGTGGTTAAAAAATAATGAATTTTTTTTTATTTGTAAAGTTATTTTATGTAAGAACATGTAATTAAAAATAAAATTTTAAAAAAAAAATGAATTTTTAAAAAATGGTGACCTAAAATTTGATACTATCAATTTGTAAAACTCTCATTCTCCACTTGCATATTTGCATATCTGCAAAGTCTTTCGTTTTTCCAAAGTATCAAAAACACATATTTAATTATAATGAGATAAACACATGAAATTTAGAAATTGACTTCTAATAACATATTTGAGCATATGCATCCGTTCAACTCTTGTATTTCACCCGCAACCTTCAGATTTAAACTGAACACTTTACTTAAACATCAATTTTACGACTAACAATAATGATAAAATATAAAGTGTATCTATATAAAATTTTAAAATGGTCATGAATATTTAGCACACATACATCAAAATTTTTAATAACACTTAACTTTTGGAACTTCTTTTCCATAATGAAATTATCATTAGGATGATAACATGGTTAATTAACGTTAAGATTTAACAACAGTAAAGAGTAAATGAATTGTACAAGAGAAGGCTTCCTAATTTTTGTAACTGCGAATTTCAAAATAATATTATAGAATTTTCTATTACTAAATTTAATAATATTAATTTATAAAACCCATCATCAATAATTGACGTGAATAATATCACATTTTATAACTAGTTAAACTATTGGTCCCTTTAATTTTTCGTGTCATTTGGTTGCCATAAAAATTAAGAAACATAGAAACATGAATCCTTAGCATATAGATAAATATGGGTAATATAACTTCATAGCACATATGTGTGCTACATCTCCTGTGTGCAAAATAAGAAGAACCAAATTCAAAAATAAATGCAATTGCATTAGATACTATTAATAAAGTTTCTGAATTATACTATTTATAATTCAGCCAAAAAATTGCTGGTAAATTGAGCCCATAAGAATTTTATGTTTCCTAGGAATTANCTTGAGCAATATTAGTACTTCAACTACTTCCAAAATCAAGGAAACTAAATTTTTTATCTTTTATTTTTTAGGTGATTGGTCTCCCTCTCTCTTAATTCTTTCTCCTTTTTTAAGGAAAATGTTAAAAAGGCAAGAAGAAAGGAATAAGAAGGGATGAAATGAAAGTAAAAGACATAACAATTAAGGGAAAGATTTTTTTATTTTTTTCTTTTGAATTCTTAAACTCAATGCATTTTATTGTCAGATGTACGAAGGGTATTTAAAATTTGAATTTGATGGAGAGACAGCCATATGTGACATATCATACAAAACTGAATAAAGAAAAAAATTTCATTTTAGATATTTTAAAGCTCTCTTGAAATTTCAAGTGACTTGAGTCAAGACTTCCAAAGATTACTCTTTCTAATAGGTTATTAACATTTGTAATATGTTCAAACTACCATGTGATCTTGTTTTCTCGCCCAAACCAAAGAAATTAAAAAGAAACATGTAGGGAAAGAGATTACTCCAACCTTGTAAAGGAAAATGGAGAAAAATAAAAAACAGTTAATGTATGCAAGGCCCTTTCGCTTTGATTCCCCCCCCCCCCCATACTGGTCTTCTTCTTTTTTTATTCCTTCTCTTTTTTAAAGAAAAAAGGTTAAGATGGCAAGAAGATAGGAATAAGAAGGGATGAAATGAAAGTAAAAGACACAATAATTAAAGAAAAGATTATACATCATGGAATAATAAAAATGCAGTGGGTTGGGCCTAAGCCGAATCTTCAAACCCAAGTTTTCTTTGTTTTTGCTTTGATCTCTCTCTCTCTCTCTCTCTCTCTTCTTTTTCTTTTCTCTCTCTCTCTCTCTCTCTCTCTCTCTTCTTTTTCTTTTTTCCCCCTTATGGTACAGCCCCCTTTTTATGACTTAAACAATCTCTGTTTATATTGGTCAAAGAATTTTGAAGAGTTGTGATTAAGAAAGAGTCAAAATCGATGAAGAAAACTCAAATATAAAAATAATAATAAAAATAGTAAAAGGGGTTGAACCTTGCAAACTGTGGTAAATAGAGTTCTGGGTGAACTGCAATCAATTGCTGTCCAGGTTGAGCCTCTATTTGCCGTAGTTGTTAATGTCGTACGTGCATTTGTTTCTTCACTTATCTACGATGTAAGTAAAGAATTAAGTTACTATTGTACCTCTATTATATTACGTTAAGATGTATTAAATTTAGTGAATTATGATCTTATTAGGTCATGACATATTGTACTCCAATAATTAAAAGCACCTTCTACTAGAAAATGGAATTTTGTATTTAATTCTTATCGTAGGGTTTGATCTAATGAGGTTAAAGATCGCGTGTAGCTCTTTATTTATGAGCTGCATTGGACACAATGACTAATCCAAAAATATTGGTGAGTTAGGATGTCCGTTAATCATTGAATGTCGACCATCAACGGTTAGAATAACGACATTGTTTATTAATATTTAATTAAAAAATATAACAAATTCTTCAATCAATATAAGAATGTACTAAAACTTAAAAATTATATGAGTTTTGCTATGATAACATTCATGATAACTCTCTGGGTAATAGAATTGCCAAATGGCAAATCACAATTGGTTGTTGAAAAAACAGTTTTTCTACCAACCAACATAGAATTGCCAATTGGCAATTCGATCACCCAGAATGTCACCATGTTGGTTAAAGTAGCAAAACTGAAATTATATACATATGAAAATATAATATATAAATATTTATAAGCTGTGAGTCTTAGGAAATATGTGAATAATTAGTGAAAATTCATTGCGAATTTTACGAAATTTGTAGATAAATTGAATATTTTGCCCAGAAGTTAAGCAGTGTCAAACAAACTCTACACCATGAATAAATTAACACACTTACCTGCTAAGAAACTTGATTTTTTTAAAAAGTGAATTATTGGTTATTCTTGTACATATGAACTCCTTGTTGCTTAAGATTGTTCTATCATAATTGAAAAGTAATTATACTCCGAATCCAAGGGTAACTTGGACATATCACATACATTCCCTTTCATATATATGCTGCAAACACTCGTCTCTCTGTTCAAACAAGCTCGCCAATTCTCTATACACACAATATCACTCTCTATGCACATAATATCTATCAGCTTACGACAGTTGACTACATAGATTCTACCAAAATATTGAGGTGTGTCTCCCTTTATCTCTCTCTCTTTCTCCCCTGCATGTCCTTATTTTTGAAAAAATAATAATAATAATAATAATAATTAGCCCATTGGGTGGGGCCAGCATAGGCGGTTGTCGAGCCTCATCGGGTGCTGGCATTGCAGGTGATTGGACATTTGTAGCATAGCACAATTTGCATCAAGCTTTCCCTCATATGTATACTTATCTAGTAATTGATAAATCATATGCTAATTTGGGCTTTCGTATACGTTTGGTGAGAGTTCATTACTACACCTGTAAATTATAAGCTTTCCCTTATTATTATACTTTTTTTTTTTTTCTGATTATAATATGTAAATTCTAATGACTGGATAAATATTAGATAAAGTTATGAGTTCAGAAAGTGAGGATGGAGTCAGGGACGATCGCAGAATACGTAAAGTGCCCAAAGTTCTGCAATTAAACAGACTCGACGAAGTGGATTACTACACTCCTAAGTTAGTTTCCTTTGGGCCTTATTACCATGGTTTGGAAGAACTTCGCGTGGGAGAGGAATTGAAGCATGAAGTCTTTACAAAGTTTTTTTCAAGCAGGGGCAAAGACAAAGAATTCTTCCTCCGTGAGATCTTTAAAGTCATCGACCGGATTAGAGATTATTGTTACGTTGGAGTTTCTAAAAATGAATATGATGATCAAGCACTAGCAGAAATGATGCTTCTAGATACATGTTTCGCAATATATCTTATGACGCTTGCCTTGGGACATGAAGAAAGAATGATCCACCTCTATAATTATGTAGGACTACATGGATTAACATTGGTATTTCGGGATATTTATTTACTCGAGAATCAAATTCCACTTTGGTTTATTAAGTTTTTGTATGGAATACAATACGGAAACACAGAAGAAGGATGGGCGTTAATTTGTGATTTCTCAATTCACATATCTGCTAAGGATAGCAGGCTAAAAAGAATTCTTAGACAAGGTGAAAAGCAACCATTTCACCTTCTGGATGCTTTTTATCGACTTCTTGTCCTTGAATTGGAAAATCCAAATGAATTCGTCGCTGCTACTCATCGTGACCTGGAATTGGATAGTGCAGGAAAAAGGCCTGTTAAAAAATGTCAATGGTGGCCACGGAGGAAACAAAATCCCAATGAATTTGAGAACCCCAAACTCAATTGTCAATCTCGTTCAGTCACTGATCTCAAAGCAAAAGGCATCCACTTCAAACCTAGTTCAGATTGTTTGAAGGATATTAAGTTCAAATCCTACACATTTTATGGGCAACTTCAACTCCCAGTTTATTTATTTACTGTCCATTCCAAGGTACTCTTTACACACATGATTGCATTTGAAATGACTCCAGAAAGCGGTGTTGAATTGACTGTAACATTTTATGTTAGTTTCTTGAAATCGCTCATTGTTAAATCTGAAGATGTGAAGGAACTGCGAGAAAAGAAGATACTCTTCAGCTCCCTCGACTATGATGAACAAATTGTGGAAGCAATCAAAGAGATCGATATTGGGGGATATGGGATGGACCTTATGTTTGATGATGTGAGGAGGGCAATTGAGAATCACTGCAGCAGCAGGTCAAAAACATGGATTGCTGAACTAATTTACACTTATTTTCGCAATCCATGGACTGTTACTTCCTTACTTGCTGCCACTTTTCTTCTTTGCTTAACTTTTCTCCAGACCTATTACACAATGAATCCCAAGTAAAGGTGTGTGTCAAATTCTGTTCTTCAAGTTTTAGTTGAAATGGGTTTAGACTCATGCAAATAAGAGTGGTTTGATGCTTTTGAATTCATTGTATTAATCTATGTTTGTATTATTGGAATCCAAATCAATAAAATAGTGTTATAACAAATGTTTATCTATAGCAGAGATTGACAACAATGGTTGTAAGTTCTTGAATTCATGTCTTGAATGCTAAGAATCTGCAGACAAACTATGCCGTCAAGATGTTAGATTAATTGCCTTGTCCTCAAGATTTCATTTACAACACCATAGTTTTCACAAAGAAGAGTAAGAGAAGGATGGGCGAATTATTGTTTCTGATCAATTAACTATTCACGATACTTAATATCGCTTCTTCAACATGAGCTGATCTTATGAAAGGAAAAACCAATAGTGCAAGGATTAAGGGAAATAAGATTGGGAAAGAGTTTTGTTCATGTCTACTTACCAAGATTCTAATCGATTGAATATGACAAAACTAGTTGTTGGAAAGGTCTTGGCTGCACTTGCCGTTCATTAATTTATATTATGGTTAGGTGAGATAAGTTAAATCTTGATCTTAAAATAGTTCAGTAGGGTTTACATGTGATAAAAATCTCAGGGATAAAAATAGTAGTTTTAAAAGTTGTCGAGGAAACTATGCTCCTATTTGACAATCATTATCCGAGGAAAACAGAGTTTTGAATGATAATTTTTAGGAGAATGTGGGATTAAAATATAAAAAAAAAATTATTGATTTACGTACAAAATATTTTATTGAGCGAATGTGTGGATGAAAATAAGTATTCAAAAAAAGAATTTGAAAATAATGGTTGTCAAACAGGTGCTAGAATTTATTATTAATAACGGAATGTGAGCTTAGTGAAAAAAATATTTTAGGGATAAAATTAGTGGGGTTTAAAATTTGATAGACGAAACTATAATTTATTATTAATAGTGGAATATGAGCTTTGTTTTACATCAATTTAGAGGCTCTCCGACAAATTAGAATTCATGAGCCCTTTTTATAACCCTCAAAGTCGGTGATCAATTCATCGACATTTAGATTTTGTGATCCAAATCAAACGCCCTAGAGAATTATTATTATTATTATTATTATTATTATTATTATTATTATTATTATTATTATTTTAAATGTGGAGAATTCTAGAAATATGCAACAGTGGTAATACGGATCCATTATCGTTGATAGAAGTGGAGAAAATGTTTGAGTTTAAGGAGAAGTTGAGAAGGAAAGGTTGTAGCATGCAGTCAAAGAGGAGTCACCTAAAGAGGTTGAAGTGAAGACGTATACTTTTTTTTCTTTTCAATTTTTAGGGACAGAGGCCACTAATCAGATTTCAATTTAAGAAAAGCAACGAATAATTGTAGTAACGTTGGTTCAAAGCCTTTCAATGTCAAGCGAATAAAGGTTCACAACAGTTAATCGATTAGAAAAAATGAGTTTGACCACATTTTGATTAAGGCCCCGTTTGAGAGCGATTTTGAGAATTGATTTTTTGAGCATTAGGATAAAAGTGAGGGCCATCCGTTAGAGAAGAAGTCAAACTTTATGACTGAAATAGTGAAATAACGGTCAAAAAATCAATCTTTTGGAATTGAATTATCGCTGTTCCTATTCATAATTTGCTAAGCCAAGTTTGATCTCTTTAGTTAAAAAAATCATTATATCTAAATTCATTTTCAATCACACATTCTTTTAATAAAATATTTTTTACACGTAACTTCAAAATCTTTTTTTTTTTTTTTTACACTTCAAAAAATCAGTATTACAAAATGTATTTCCTCAAAAAATGGGTCTCAAACAAACCATAAATTATACTTTTTTTTTTCTGTACACCTTTTAAATAAAATAATAAATGAATAGTTCATCCTGGTATTTGTATGGTATTCATGTTCATATTTACAAAAAATGGCCTTCAGATTTTGTTTGTCAGGTTGAGCTACACGAGATTAAACAATGAAGCTAGCGTTGATTTCTCTAGTGTCCCATCCAGTGTTGTCTAACTAAATTTACCGATTAATAATTCTTTTTTTTTTTTTTTAATTTCAAGATTTGTGGAATATGGGCTCCTAATTATTACTGTAAATTAAATTCTGGATTTTTTTTTCGCTTTTGAATTTAACTCAATGAATTTTATTGACAAAATGTACAAAGAGGATTTGCAATTTGAATTTGATGGAAGTCAGATATATATGGCATATGATATCATACCAAATTAAATAAAGAAATTTTTTTATCCATTTTAGATATATGAAAGCTCTCCCAAAATTTTATTTGTTACGTTTATTAAAAATTGTCATAAGCCTCGTCCATCAAGCGAATCGAGTCAAGACTTTCACAAAATCACAGTTTTTACCTGGTTATTAGCCTTTGTAACATGTTCTGACTTCCATAAGATCTTCTTCTCTTACTTAAAACCAAAGAAATTAGAAAGAAAACGAGAAGGAAAACAAAAAACTCTACCCCAGAAAAGGAAAAGGGAGAAAAACAATTTAAGTATGCAAGGCTATTTGTAACTTATGCTTTGTATCATCATCATCATTATCATCTTCATCATCATCATCGTTGTTGTTGTTGTTGTTGTT